TCTTTTGTCCGACGAGTTCTAGGGGAACCTGGCACTTTTTGGCTTTAAATGTATTCTGTCTAAATTTGTAGGATGTCTTTCGGCCTTTTGATTCATTTTTACACTTTTGATCAGTTCTTTAATAAACTTTATTTGTGTTTCAAATTCAATTAAGCGTATTATTTGCGTTCCGCCTTTCCGATAATTAGCATGGGTACGAGTGAGTGCAACCTGGCCTTCCACAACGTAGGGGTTCCGGCCATTGTCGAGTGTGAGGTTTGTGTTACTACGCCGGTGTTCCGAGCTCGTGTTTTTCCCGCTTTCGTTAGCGCGGGAGCTGTCGACTTGGGTACCTACATCACAACATATACAAAATGTAATGCTAGAAATTATGAAGCTACACAGTTTTTTGTGTACGCCCCGCCATAATACAATCTCTACAATAAATCATTATCGGCGCTGGGCCATCGATGTGGCTGCGCTGCCATGGCTGATTCCAGTGTTTTGTACATCGTATTCGGTTACGCAGCTCACAATCTCTTTGAAATACGGTCGGAATCTTGATCCATATTTTCAATAAGCAGGGCCGTATGCAGGAGTACGCCAGGGCAGGTTGAGCCTGCCCTGGAAAATTTTAAGCCTGCCCTAGTCTGGTTTCAAAAATTTTATTTATAATTTCCGGGTGTACTAAAAGTCTAAAAATATATTTTGATATAATTTCGTTTGTACTCGTAAGATTAGACATACACATAAGCAATGACTATAATTCATTGCACTTTGCATTAATGCAGTCGCACCGCACCAATGCCTTGTATTTCTTTCGTTTGTGTTTTGCGCGAACTGTCTTCAGTCTTGAATTAAAACACTACGCTATGCTATAGGAAGTTATTTGTGCAATTAGCAATTTTGATTGCAGTGGATTGTGGAAGTCGTAACGACCGACGGTGTCAGTGATAGTGATTGTAAACTCTTTGCGACGGCCGGCGCTTATGTTATAACTAGGTAGGTAAGAGGTACCTAACTACTGTGAAATTTTTTCAAACGTAATTAGTGAAGTAACTTTTACTAAATTACTTTTATACATGATTAAGGGCCGAGATATCCAACTCCTTATAAACTACCTATTAACTATTAGGAGAATAGTGTATTTATTAGCTAATAAATAATAACATGGAGTTCCATTGTTATTTATCTGCCTAACAAATATTAGGTACCTAATTTCTCATCTTACCCAAAATGGAAAAGTTGGCAATTCTGATTTTAAGATGTTATCATTAAAAAAAAGATGGTCATATAGAAATGCATGCATGAGTTGGAGTGAAATAGTGGTTTATTGACATTTGATGGACAACTTAACCTATATGCAATTCAAATTACTGGTGAATGAGAAGCTTTGATTAATTTAATAAATTACGATGTAAGTAATTGTGACTGTTATGCAATAAATTATTACCTATTTTGTATATTTTAGTTATTTCTAAATGGCGACAAAAAGACAGCGGACCACCAATTTTAGTGAGAAGGAGGTGCGTCTTTTAACGGACATTTGTTTGAAGTATAGCAGTGTACTGGAGAATAAAAAAACGGACGCTGTGACATGGAAAGAGAAAAACACTACTTGGGAGCAAATAACGGCGGAATTTAATTCTCAAAATGAAAGTTCTAATCATCGAGACACGAAAAATTTAAGGTTAAAGTATGACTGCCTTAAGAGGGAAATAAAAGCAAAAAAAAGGCCAAAAACAAACTTGAAATTTTAAAAACCGGCGGTGGAAAAGCCAGAAGGTACTCCTTACACAGATTACGAGGAAAAATATTAGACGTGATCACATTAAGTGTAGAAGGGCTACCGTGCCGACATGACAGCGATAATGCATTAATTATAGATAATGGCATAGATATGGTAGAAACGTTACCTTTTACAGCAATAAGTAATTTGGAAAACATACCTTTCGACATACCACTGTCAGAAATTGATATTGCCGCCCCTGTTGCACGTGAGCTGGAAACGTCTATTATACCCAGCACGTCAAAGAAGTGGACTTCTGGGAAGAAGAAACGTCTACAGCCACAAGAGAGGCAGTATTTCAATAAAAAATACGAGCAATTACCAACAAAGAGACACACACTAATTACATTGCAAACGAAAATGCAGAATGGGAAAAGCAGTTATTATTAAGTAAAATCAAATTTGCGGAAGAAGAGTATATGCTAAAAATGAAGCTGTTAAAATTAAACATTCGTAAGGCAGAAATAAATTTATTGCAAGCGGAAAAGGGCACATTAGAATAACAACACACAAAAATCACAAGTGATCATTAAGAACAAGTATTCCATTCAGTACCTTCTAATATGTATAAAAATGTCTGATAATCTTACAATAAACCTTGAAAATAATCTATATACGGTTGACGAGCATTATTTTCTACGTTTACTGGTGCAATAACATTATTGTCCTGGTCAATTTCTATGTCATCTAATTCCATAGCTTCATTTTGGTCTCTAGCAATGTTGTGAATTATTGCCGTAGCTACAATAATGTCTTGACACATAGGTAATTTGTTCCGCAGTCCCAGTGACAAAATAGGAAATTTCCGTTTCCATATACCAAATGTTCTTTCAATTATTGTCCTTGTTCTGATTTGGCATTCATTAAAATAGTGCTCTGCGGGATTTGTTGGATTATTAATTGGAGTAATTAAATAGTGACAGAGAGGATAACCGCTGTCGCCTAATAAAATGCTATTTCCCATTTCATTGTTTTCAAATTTCATACGAATTGTTGAATTCCTAAATATATGGCTGTCATGACTTGCTCCCTGGCCAACGACATACAATATTTCTAATTTTATAGTTTGCATCACATACAGCTTGGACGTTGATAGAAAAAAACCTTTTCTGTTTCTGAAATTCTCAGCATGTTCACCACCTAGGTACAAAATATAGCTAACACTTCACTATCATATAAGGAACGAACCTGGATTTTGGATTCTTATGTGTGTGCAATCAATGGCACCAATAACTCTAGGAAACCTTGCGATAGCATAGAAACCTTGCTTGATTATTGTCATTTCCTCAACGGTATCTGGCATTTTAATGTACACTGGGCTTAATTCCGCAATAGCCCTTGACACTCTTCTTATAATTTGTCCAGAAGTGGTTCGATGTAAACCTCCAAAATCTCCAGCTACTATTTGAAAACTACCACAAGCATAAAACCTAAGAGCAACTAGTAACTGTTGTAAAGGTGATACAGCATGATTTCTAAAACGATAAAAGATGTGGTATACAAACTAATTACCATTACACGATTTACCTATCTGTGCGATGTCTTATATTGTCTTCAATGAGACCATTAATGTGAAGTGCAGTATTTTTTGTCACTCTAAAGCGATTGAAAAATTGTTCCTCATTCCATCCATGGAAATTATCTTGTCTCTCCCTAACCATATATCTCTGGCGATTTAATCCTAAATCTTCAATTTCCTGCATCTCTATTTCATCATCCAGTTCATGAAAATACATTTTTTTTAGATCCTGCAATTGCTTTTGAGGTTAGGTATACAGGGTGGTGACTTGCGTAACGCATCATAGGGATTTCAATGTAAAATTCATAACATGCGATTATTGGCTCCCCAAATTATTTTAGAGCAAAAATGTATTAAGGTTTTTTGTAGGAAAAAATTTTTTACGTCAATCAACCCTATTACTTTCCAATTTTTTGCATAATAAAGATGGAAAATTGGAAAATAAAACCCCCATCTTTTTCAATAATCTGCGATGCCATGGAATTTTCTAAAACAAAAAGATATCCAGTTATCAATTAGCAGCAATTCGAAATGGATTTTATGATCGACTTGGTTACTGTCTTGCAGTTAATGGTGACTTATTCGAACATTTATTGTAAATTGTTATATTAGGAAACCGTTTTTAGTAATTTGGTCTTTCTTTATGTTGAATTCGCTGTTCTAAATATAATACTTTTCGATAGAATTTGATTTGTTTTATAGCAGACATTCCATGGCATGACGGATATTGGTGTAGTTTTTGTATTGTGGCGGCCAGCGCCTAAAACATATACAATTAAGCACGCCGAGACTACCCCCAGCTCGGCACGGCAGTCAAGCACGGCCGAGAACACCCCGGAGACATGCAAAACGGTTTCTCCCCACTCCAACAGACGGCCTTTATAAGGCGAGCCAGCAGCAGAATAAATCAGATGCACCTGTTTCCTTATAGCGGTCATCTCACTAATACTGTGTTGTCTCATAGCCAGTATTCAATTTAGGGCAGTGTTCTTAATAGCCTGCCTCACCAACCGGCGTTCACCGAGCCCGATAAACACAATCAGGTTACCCCAGCCGGCGTTCACCGAGCCCGGCATTCCTACCAGCATCCACCGCGGACAGTACGTCGGGCCCATGCCCCCTACGACGCCCAGGAAGGTGAAGCGCCAGCGACGAAACGAGGTCCGCCGTTTCTTCCAGAGGAGCCCACTCCCGACACCCGTTTCGCTGCTTCCGCCTAGCCCGACGAAACCACAACGCGCGTGGATACTACAGCCCATCGAGCAGCCCGTTTCCTACGGCAACATCGACCCCGGGACCATAGCGACTAACGATCCCCGCCGATTTATAGTACGCGATCGTCATCGGAAGCAGCTGATCCAGCACCTGTTCGGGGACGACTAGAATTTGCATGTACTGTAATGTAAATGTAATGTTATGTAAATATAGGACACAATAATAAACGAGCACGCATACAACCAAAGTATTATAAAATTCCATGGCATCACCGATTATTGAAAAAGATGCGGGTTTTATTTTCCAATTTTCCGTCTTTATTATGCAAAAAATTGAAAACTAATAGGGTTGATTGACGTAAAAATTTTTTTCCTACAAAAAACCTTAATACATTTTTGCTATAAAATAATTTGGGGAGCCAATAATCGCATGTTATGAATTTTACATTGAAATCCCTATGATGCGTTACGCAAGTCACCACCCTGTATAAGTAAATTAGAAGCGTATGTCAATGGAAAATAATTTTTTTACTTTTGATTTTACTTACCTTTCACGTATATTTTACGAAGATTAATATCACAAGAAACTTTTGTAATTGATGGGTTTATACTACCTTATCAGGAGCTCATACTAGCTAATAAGATATTTAGCTAATAAGGTTAGTTACTAGGTACCTATTAATTGTTAGGAGGTGAAAATCCGTAAAAAACGTTTATTAGCTAAATAAATTTATTAAGTAGTTGATTAGAAGGTGGATATCTCGGCCCTTAGGAACATTTTCTAATGACCTGTTCTATAATTTCTTTTGCAAACAAATCTGAGATGAGAGCGTCAGCGAAAACCGAAACGTAAAGTCATTGCTAATTGCGCCAATCATCGATTGCATCTAGTAATTGTAAAAGCTATAAAGGAAATACCCACAATTAGGCAATACTTCGATCAATGCGCCATGCTCTACATGTTTTTAAAGAAAGGAAGTTTATCAAAATTTTACGATGGACACGTACTGTGTCGCCTTCTGGAACAGCGCTGGAGCGATCATTTGGACGTTACTCGTCTAATTTTCAATAATTATTGGAAAATAACCCAAGCGCTAGAAAAAATATCGAAGAGCAGGGATATCGACGGCGATTATGTTGTAGAAAGTACTGGTTTACTGAAAATTATTCGCTCCAAGGAATTCCGATTTTGCATGGTGTTCATGAAAAAAGTGTTAGAAACTATTCATCCTGCTGATAAATTACTTCAGTCGCCCGAAGCGAGTTTGACAGACTCTGTTGTACTTATAAAATCCGTAGTAGATTCTCTTACTTCCTACAGAAATGAAAGCGTTTATAAAATGATGGATGAAAAATCAACACCGATTTCAATGTTGCTGACGATGATACTCACACTTCCAGGAAAAGACAAAGAAAGACCAACACACTCCTTAAGGACTACCTAGTATATGATAAAACGGGCGAAAGATCAGAAGAGGTAGACCAAAATGAAGAATACTTCATGTCAATATTTTATGAAACACTGGATGTTATCTTAACTGAAATGAAAGTAAGATTTGAAGACAACAATGAGCTGCTAATTGCAGTTTCCAGTGCTGAAGATGAAAATATCGATTTAGACAAAATTAAATATTTGGAAACTTTGGGTGTAAAACTGCCATCTCCAGAAGAAATTGTAGTTGTAAACAGATTTATAAACGCTCAAAAGAAAGAGAACCCTGATTTAGCTGTCTTTGACATAATTTTCCAGCAACGATCAACTTTTGAGAAAATTTAATCAGCAGAAGAGCAGACGACTGCAACTTTTCTAAAATAAATAACCATATTCTTCGTATTTTTTTTATGTGTATAATTATGTAAATATAAAATATGGCTACTCTGTCAATGTCATTCTGATTTCAGATTGAGTGTATACATTTACGAACAAAACAAAATCAATGAAAGTACTGCAAAAAAACTACAAGCTCTTTACATTTTGATATAAAATTTCAGTCTGCCCTGAGTTTTTGTGGGCCTGCCCTTATTATAAATTCTGGCTACGGGCCTGTCAATAAGTCATTTACAATTAAACTAAGGCGGCTCCAGACTCACGCCGCGAACACCCGTGAAGCCCCGCGAACGCGAGTATGGATGGTTTTCACGCGTTTTCACGGAGTTCACGTATCTTCGCGTGGGCTTTCCCGTTTCGAGTCTGTCTTTTTGCTCGCTTCAAAGAGTTCGCCACTGTGAAAGCGAATTTAACTGTGAAATAATTGTGAGTGTGGAGGTAAATTTTGGTCCGTGACGTTCGAGGTTGTTCGCGGTGTGAATTCACGGCGAAGCCGGCATACTCGCTTTTCGTCTCGATATAATTATACTCCTTTTGAGCCTCTCGCCGGGCAATGTTGCGGAATTTAAGGTTTCGATTTCGACCATAATTCGATCTCCAAACTTGGTGCCGATTACGCCGACATCAGTAATTGGGTATTTATTTCCGATTTCCAGATCTTTTGCATTTATGAATGGTTTACAATAGGTCGATGAGTTCAAGGAAGCGAAATCAAATTCTTCCATTATTATGAGCAGTAAATATCTGTAACAAATAAATAACAAACAAACAAAATTAGTCATTAAAATCATACTCACCAAATAACGCCGCAAACTAGTTCGCTCGAAGCACTGACTGAGACGTTAACTGCACTCGGCTTTTATTTCAATTTTTATCTAATCATAGCGGATGCAGCATCCTGTCAGTGTTTCTAGAAATTTCTGAGCGGAAGCAGCATCGTGTCTCTTATCTACATCGAAATGTATTTAAGCTGGCATATTTCAATTAAGTCATTGCATTTGTATGTGCATGTGAGCAGACTGTCTCAACTACTACTTCAAAGCAGAAATCCTCTTTTAAGCAGCGAAAACCAGGTAAGAGCATTTTATCTTAAATAAAACTTTAGGCATTTTAATGAAGATATTTTAGGAAAAATGGCTCATATTTTAGACAATGTGAATACCACGCTTGAAATGATTGGCCATTTCTATAAAAATTATAATCTCGGCTCTGCTAGCAAGGTTCCAAAATTCATCAACATCATCGATGCCAATCTTAGGTAAATCCAATCTTCGCTAGCAGAGCCGCTAACGGTTGGAGATAAACGGCACCTTGCAGCTGTGGCTGGTAAAATGGAACGCTACAAGGTGCTTATTAACCAGTTGGGGAAGTCTATTGTCGGCTCCTCCCTAGGTAGAAGACCGTTGGTAGAATGGTGAGATTTGGCGACCGCATTTAAATCGCGTGTGAGTACCGGTATTATTATTAATCTAGGACATAAGACTTTAGGATCATTTTTTAACGATAGCTGTAAGTTATTTATCACTAAGATTAGAGACATCTATCCCACATGTAATAGCCCGCTGAAAACAAATTTTGAGTTTTATGCGGAATTTGTAAAGCCCTCGTTGAATAAGAGTGATGAAGCACTAGCATGTAGGGAATTTAGTTTTTTAACGAAGAATTTTACTATTTTATCTAGCGATTTAAGTGAAGCTGACTTGAAGCAATTGTTTAATAATAACGCGGTGGATTATTTGATGGAGCGCTTAATGCAATTTGAGGAACAGGACAGTGGGTGGGGTCTGTACAAGATAATTTCGTTGGCTGTGAACGTAAACAGTGTGACTTTAATGCAGGCCTCGTCCTTTATAGAATTACCTAAAGAAATTCAAGTTAAAAAAGCGGTCATCAGCGGTGTTCAAAATAATGATGAAGCGTGTTTTGGATGGGCGTTGTCATCTCCCCGCTACCCTCTACACCAATCGTATCTCTTCTTATCCATATTATGCGCAAATCTTAAATTTTGATGGTATTAGCTTCCCCATGTTTTTAGACCCAACTCCAAAAATTTTTAAAACAAAATCCCAATTTATCTATCAATATTTACGGCCTTACTAGAAAAACGCAATCCGATTATGTCACTGTTCCCATTTATCTTAACACCGAAAAGAAAGCGAATCACGTTAATTTACTCAGGATCCAGCAGAATTATGATATTGAGAATAATGCTACCGCTAACAATAATGAGGAACCCGATGAAGCGGTTCGATTTCATTTCTGTTGGATCAAAGATTTATCGAGATTGGTACGTTCACAGTTGACGAAGAGACATGGAAAGCTGTATATTTGTGATAGGTGTCTCCACTATTTTAGCTCACCGGATAAACTTAATACACATGAGTTAAATTGTAAGTTAGTTAATAAGTGTAAAATAAATATGCCAGAGCCCGGTTCACATGTATATTTCAAGAACCATGGATTCAAACAGACCGCCCCTTTCATCATTTATTGTGATTTGGAATGTTTGGTACAAGATTTTCGGGTAGATGAGACACAAAACACCGTAAAATATAAGCAGCATAACGTATGTAGCATTGCACCTTTGATAATTCATTGTCGAGGTTCCGCCTGCAGAGGGGTGAGCAATGTATTAATTGGTTTACCAGTGAACTTGAGGAAATTTCAAACAATTTACAACAATATTTCATTAATCCAGTGCAAATGGAAACGTTAAATGATTTGCAAATGTTGGGACATAATGCATCCACCTGTTGTCATATTTGTGAAGGGCCCATTTTACCGCCCCAGGTCAAAGTTCGCGATCACTGCCACTTTACAGGTCGGTTTCGCGGTAGTGCCCATCAGGCTTGCAATTTACGTTATAAAGCACCACATATGATACCCATATTTTTTCATAATTTTAGTGGATAGTCATTTTATAATTAAGGATATTGCTCAAGCTATTCCTGGGAGAGTCACGCTGCTACCTAAGAATAAGGAGCGTTACATTTCATTTACTAAGAAAATGGAGAATGCAGATGTCGAATTCAGATTCGTATCGCTTCATGAGCGAATCATTAGATAATCTAGCGTCCTATTTAAAGTTTGACGATTTCAAAATTTTGCGTAGCACGTTAAGCCATTTAAATGATGAGCAGCTCAAACTTTTAACTAAAAAGGGCGTGTATCCGTATGAATATAGGTAAGTTAGGAAAAATTTAATGAAACCAATTTACCGGAAAAGATACAATTTTACAGCAAGTTGAGGCAGTCGCACATTTCAGATCAGGAATATTCGCATGCTAGAAACGTTTGGCGTAAATTTGAAACTCAAAACTTGGGCCAATATAGCGATCTTTATCTAATAAGCGATGTGCTTATACTTGCAGATGTATTCACCAATTTTAGAGAAAGTGCATAACAACGCATAAACTCGATCCAGCATTCTTTTTCACAGCGCCCGGATACACGTGGCAATGCATGCTGAATTACACCAAAGTTAAACTCGAGCTGCTTCACAGATGTTGATATGATGCTGTTTGTTGAAAAAGGTATAAGGGGAGGCATAACGCAATGCTGTACGAAATACAGCAAGACCAATAATAAATATCTGAATGGGAAGAATTACGATCCTACTAAACCCCCTACTCATATCATGTATATGGATATGGTTAACTTGTATGGGTGGGCTCAAAGCCAGTGTTTACCTTTAAACAATTTTAAGTGGCTTAGCGAGGCTAAATTAAAGTCATTAACTCCTGAAGCGATATTAAATGTACCTGATGATGCGGTCCAAGGTCTCATTTTAGTGGTGGATTTATCGTATCACCGGCAATTGCACGATCAACATAAATCGATTCCTTTCTGCGAACACCACACTCCACCGGGCGCTAAAAATAAGAAATTGCTGGCAACCTTGCATTCAAAAACTAGATATGTTATTCACTATAGAAATTTAAACCAATGTCTTCAAGCAGGTCTCATCCTTGAAAGAGTTCACCGGACTATTAACTTTAAACAATCTTGCTGGTTAAAACCATATATAGACTTCAACGCAAGGTTGCGAGCGCAAGCTACTAACGGTTTTGAAAAAAATCTATATAAATTATTAAATAATGCAAATTTCGGAAAAACGATGGAGAATGTGCGGAACCATCGCATTATTAAGCTTGTTACCCGGTGGAGTGGTAGATACGGAGCCAATTATTATATATCCCAGCCCAATTTCCATAGCAGAGAGATCTTCGATGATGAATTATTGGCTATCGAGCTATCCAAAACAGAAATTCTATTTAATAAACCGCTATATGTTGGGATGGCAATATTGGAGATTTCGAAAACTAGAATGTACGATTTTCATTATAACTTTATGCAGCATCAGTTTAGCGCCGACCGCTTGAAATTGCTGTACATGGATACCGATAGCCTCGAGCCACCGATTTATACTTGGATATTCGTACAGTCACCAAGTTTGAATTTAGATGGTCCCATTATCTTTATATTGTGGAACATTGGTAAGTATGTCTTTGAGGTTACATCTTTAGGTCACTTTCAACTATGGCCGCTTTCTTTACGCTATACGTAGAGTAATGATTGATGGTATGTTTCAGCATTAACTTTTCAAAATCCTTATTATAGAATTCTTTTCTTTGATCGGTTTGTAAATTGACTGGCACTCTTCCTTCGCATATAATAGCGGTCATGTTTTTGCTCACTTCACTCGCATTCTTCGATTTTAGGGGTTGCGTCCATAGGTATTTGGAGTAGCAATCAATTACGGTTAATATATATTTATAGCCTCGATTATCTTTAGAATATCGCGTGAATTCGGCCAAATCAGCTTGCCAAAGGTCATCACGATGCTTGATTATCGTTCTTTTTCGCGGAAATTTTTTTCTTGCCGATCTGTGCAATTCCTCGACGACGTCGAGCTTCGTCATCTTCCAAATCACTACCGATAAATGGCGGAGATTTACGCATAGTCAATTCGGCAAAGTCCGTCACCGGACTCATTCCTAGTTTTTCGCGAATTTCATCCAAGTTGCGCTCCATTTCATGCATGACATTCGTATGACCATCGGTGATTGACTTAAACGATTTTACAAACATGTGTAGGTATCCATTTGTTACGGCATCGCCATCGTTTTGCTTTCAGACTACAAGGAGCACAACAACAGCAGATGAGTACCGTCGGTCAATCTCAGTAAGTTATTT